TTACAATGTGAATAAGATTTAATGAATTATTATATTCTATTGAATAATATTTATATAATTTAGTAAACTTTCAACGCTATATTCATTTCAAACAAAGCCAGAAATTATGTTTTTAGCATTCTAATTATAAATAAAGTGAAAAAGAAAATCACTTTTTGTGTCAACAGGAGTCAAATTCACAACAAAACATAGTATCAAAATTTAACAACACCTTACTTTTGAAAATCATTTATGATCACTCGTATTTTTTACACAAATAAAAATATACAATGGTTAATTCCGTAATTTGAAGAAAATTTATCTTGAATTGCCATTAATATTTAGATGTCATTTGAATCAAAACATAAACATAATATCAATAATTATTTACAGTAATTATTTAGAAATAATTACTTCTCCATTGTATACTTGTGACTGGAAACATATATCAGCAAGTTAAAAACTATATGAAATGAATGTTATCTTTTTACGTTTATAAGCAATATGAAGCATTATATCTTATGAAATTCAATATTTTGTAAGATGAAAATTCAAAATTGCATAAAAATAGAAATAGAACATGAAAAGTAAGTAGATTTTGATATGCTTTCAATTTATTAATAAAAAAATAACATAGATGATTGAATCATAATATTTTTCAATATGTTATGATTCATACATAACATATTAAACAATGTTATGCATGAATTTTAACAAAATATAATATGATTGTATTTGAAAATAAATTTATCATGAAGCAAATACTTTAAAAATCTGTTTGTCACATATTATGAATATTTCAAGATTTTTTTTTTAAAATAAAATGTTTATTAATAAAAATGTTTTTTATAAAAATGGTAATTAATCATAATATATAATATTATTTTTAATGAATTTTGTAAGCATTAATTTTTTAATATATTATGAAAATTTAGCAACGAATTTATTTTATATCAATGCAATTTGTTAAAAATATTTTTAGAATATTTTGAAAAAATGTAGAATAGAAACTGCATTTTATGCAACAAAAATCTAATTTTAAAAGTTATATACAAGTAGTACTTTGGATTTAAGTAACATATCATAAATTTTTTATATCTTAATTTATTAACATTATAAATATTATATCAAAATCGTTTATTGGTCTCATTATATATTGAAAATTTTGAAAAAGTTCATCAAACTGTTGAATTTAGAAAAATTATTTAACATTTAAGTAATTTAAACTTTCAAACTGAATTATGAGTTTAAAATGCTATTATTATTATAAAAGCAAGTGAAGATAAATTACAAAGTGATTTTCAACAATGGCAACAAATTAGATATCTAACCAAATATCAGTTTATTAAGCTAGCCATTAAGTTATAATAACATCCAAACATCAGGACTAGGAATATTAAAAATAAATATATTTAATAAATAGAATGAAACTTTTGATTTTAGTATTATAGAGTTGTTATTTATTAATTGCATGTGTGTAGTTGTACAAATCATGCATACATAGAGAATAGGTAGTTATATTTCACTTTTGGCTAATTATACCTCATCTTATTATAATTTATTCTATGATTGGTCAGATTACGATTAGGTTTAGAAATGATAATCCTAATCTTTCATCCTCTACGTCCGGCTCGTCGTTCATGCACACACGTGCGATTCGCATCAACTTTCGCTCAGCCGCCCTCATGACCGTTGGCGTCTAGTCGGCCATTTCTTCACGTGCTTTGTAATGAAGCATTCGCTTTTGCTTTGTTTCTCGTTCCGTCACTTTGTTCTTCAGCTTGCTCTGATACTTCAATTTCATGAGGCACTCGGTTGCTACTAGACAATTGCAACGAAGGTCAAAACCAGAACATAAACAAATTGACGAATAATTTAGAGCAATTTTTGTTATGATTCACATAGGTTTTAGAGCATAATTAATCCTCGACTTGATGAATGACATCGAGCAATAAGCTTGAATCCTCGCATAAACACTAGTTTGATTTGTGAAAGATGTTGCCTTGTTGTGGCATTTTACTTCGGAGTTAGATGTGCATGGACAGTGAGGCGAGCGTGACGAGGTAAAAAATAATTTAGGAGTAGCATTTTAAAAATGAGTCATAATCTCACCAATCACATAAGAGATTATAATAGTATGAGGAATAATTAGCCAAAACTTAGGTATAACTAGCCGCTACCCAAAAAATATTATAATTCATAATACAATACATATCAATCAATCAAATTGTCATTTTTTGTGTGAAAACAACATATCACAAAGAATAATTTTAAGTGATTTCTGTTAATTATTTCTGTTTATAATTAATCTTATATGTTATTTGGTAGATCTTAAAAAGATTCTTGAAATTTTTTGAATATCAAATGATATTTATGGGATTTTAAAATAATAATAATAGCCATTATTATGATAAAAAATTTCATTTATTGTAGACTTGACATTATGTATGAAAAAATTGGTAAGCTTGATCAACATAATGCTGGAAAATATGTATTCTATAGGTGTTGATGAATATAAAATCACTTTTTATTGTTTCATTTTACATATCAACAAAAATACTTTCACACAAATTTTATAAAATGAAAATATGTATTTAAAAAACTGCGATTATATTTTTCATAAAAAAAGTAATTTTGTAAATAAAATAAAATAAAAACAATTAAATCATATGATTGTGAAATAATATCATATTTCATGCTAAAACGCAAATATATTAGATATCGTAATAATTGGTGAAGTACTTTTAGTTTATAATTAAGTTCTTTTTCACATTTATGGAACTGAAAATACAACTATTCTCTTGTGGACTGATGTTCAACTAAATTGAATTATATTGTTTGCATACTTGTGATACAAGAGTATCTATGTAGTATGATGACTGACATGAAATAATGTATGTTGCGACTCATCATGTTTGTACAAGATAGCTAAAAAAATTAATGTAATTGTTAGAATCATTAGATAAATATCCATATGAAAAATGCTTATGGCAATAAAAGTCAGTCTAAAATTTGACATCAATTTTTTGGGTATCATAGATGAGATACAGAAAATTGTTTTTAAAACAGAAATTTAAATTAAAAAATTGTTAAAAATATCACTTGAAGATGATATTTGGGAGTAATTACTGTGAAGAGTAATCAGTAGTGTAGAAAGGCAAGGTCTTGGATGCTCAATATACAGGAAGGGTACTTTATAAGATTCCTATGCCGAGACTACTAATTAAAAGTAAGTCTGAACATCATGAAGGAAATAAGGTTTTATTTATCATATATGAAAAAAAATGTATTATAATATATTATGTGAAAATAATATGTATTGTGAAGAGAGTAATATATGCACGCTAATGCAGTTGTGTCGTATCTACAACTATATTAATATTGGTTCAGATTGAATATGTTCATTGACTAATGTTGAAAGGTTGACAAAAGATTAGAAGGATGACTAAGACTAAAATTTGCAAGATTTGATGAAGGTGCTTGATATACGAGGGTGAGAATCATTTCTGATAAGAAGAAACGTTTGAAAACGCATTTGAAATTTTGCGAGTACTAGAGTCGTTTGTGTTTGTTTATCTTATCATTGTATGATGCTGAAAATTTCTTGCATTTACATAAAGACAAACAAACTTTTTCAAAAACAGTTTGTCGGTCTTTGAATGTTGGTTTATTCTCTTGGATGTAAAATCGAGACATAATATTGCGTGTTTCTTTCAATGACTTATGATTAAAAATTTCTTAGACGAGATTGCAACAATGAGTGTGGTCGCGTATATGACAACATCGTATCAAGCAAATCTGTGGATAATGGATTATTCTAGTGCACATCATCACATCACAAACCACGATGAATAAGAGGACATATAAAACAGAGGTAACCGAGAAATATAAGGAAAAAGGGGACATTAAAAGAATCAACTCCTGGGGCTGCTAAAATAAGACGATGGTGCGACAGATACAATATCGTGTGACTTGTGGGCGAGAACTTTGATAAGTGGGGATTGTAGGGGGGGGCTTGCATTTATAGAGGCGCAGAGGGGTGTGGACATGTGCAAACCCTCGAGAACTGCATCACGGGGGGTTGCACTAAGAGAGAAGACTGTACATGGCATCTCGGCAGCATCACGTGGAAGGCGTGCAACAGTCGACACGTGTGGGATCCATGCCACATCCTTCATGCATAGTGGTGCCTACCTGGATCGAGCCAGTGCAGAGATTCCACGTAGTTCTCCGGGCCTCCTTGTCACGCTCGCTTTTACCGCGGCCTTCGCGTCGCGGGGCTTAGCGGGCGGGGGGGGGGGGAAGGGGGGGGGGGGGGCGGGGCAGCTCGTCAAAGTCTGCGTATGTGGGCCCGTCGACTGGCAGCAGCCCCATACTCTACTCAATACCCTCTACAACGGCGGCTGGGCACCGTAGTAGTCGTCGCTCCCGGCCCTCTGCGGCGCCATTCAGCACAGCCGGACCGACTGACAGACAGCCCGGGCCGGGCCGGGCCTGCCCCTGCCCCAGCCCCTCCCCCTCGCCTCGCCTCGCCTTCGACTCCTTCTTGCACTCGCGCTGACACGAGGGGGGCTGGGCATGCTGCCCATGCTCATCTTCTTTATCCGGCGTCGTAGGCTCGGCTGGCCGCGACGCCGAACGCGAGACCTACTGCATGCGCCAGACCGACCCGTCACGTCCTCTACCGCCTGCCCGTCGCTTTCTGCCCCTCTCTCCTCTCCGGCCCCTCTCCCCTCGCTCCTCGTATGGCCTGGCCCCCTCCTCCTTCCTTCTCTCTCCTCGTCCTCGCCCGTCCTTGGCATTTGCTCCTACCGCTCGCTCGCTACCCTCCCCTCCCCTTCCCCCGCCTCGCCTCGCCTCGCCCCCTCCCCCTCCTCTCGCCCCCTCGTCGCTCGCTCGCCACCCCCGCCACCTCCCATCGCCCTCTGCCACCCCGCGATCGCATCGCTGCCTCCCTCGCCTTCCTTCTTCCCACCCCCTCCTTCCTTCGCACATTGATCTCACCTGCCCGCTGGCTGCCTCTCCCTCCCTCCCTCTCTCTCTCTCTCTCTCTCCCCGTCTCTCCCTCGGACATCAATAAACTAAACGCATCGTCTTCCGCCCACGACAGAGTCTTTCAGTCGGTCGTTCGTTCGAGGAAGTGTCGATCAGTTGCGCACCAGTAATTTCGTATTGCAGATCAGTCTCCTGCCTTCTCGCGGTTGGAGTTGCGCGCGAGAGCTCCGGACACGTCAGCTGCTGCTGCTGCAGCTCGCCCGAGCTCGTGCCTGCGGGAGCCGAGTAGGTGACAGCAAAAGAACAATTTGCGCCCACGGCTTTCGGAGAAGAAGTCGCGCGTCGCTCGCCGACTGCTGCTGCCCACTGGGGTCGATCTCGGTCTGCGAGGGTGTCGAGGGTCGTCTCTCTTGCTCTCGCTCTCTCTCGAGCGAGGTGTCGGTCGATCTTGCGCGGCGGCGTCCGAGCGGGGCACAGGCTGGGCTCCGGCGAAGCTATGGAGTCGTAGGAAGCGCTGGACGCTGCGGTGTAGATGGTGCTGGTGATCCCCGGGGGAATCCACGATAGCCTAGAGGTTTTTTAGAGTTTTTGTCGAAATGACGTCGGGCACTCGCCTGCCGACATGGAAGGAGAGAGAGAATAATAAACGACGCGAAAGACGCAGGCGCGCCATCGCTGCGAAGATCTTTCTTGGGCTCAGGTTGTATGGCAACTACAAGCTGCCGAAACACTGCGACAACAACGAGGTTCTCAAGGCCCTCTGCGCGGAGGCTGGCTGGACAGTGGAAGAAGACGGAACCACGTATCGAAAGGTACGCCCCTCCCTTCCCACTCCTCCCTCGTCGCCCAACCAGGCGTGTGTCAATGTCGCAAGGAGTGAGCAGGAAGTAGGAGAGCTTGGCTACGAAGGCCGTGTATATACTTGCGCTGTGGAGAAGATTCTGCTCTTTGCCTTGACTGTGGGAGGTGTTGTGACTGTCGTGAATGCTGATCGATCTTTCTGTGTGATTTCGGGAGCTTAATTGCGATGTGTCGTGTGGGTTTGTGTGCATCTGGCAGGGCACGAAACCGGCCGCGGAGCGAATGGATGTGTGCACGTCGCCATCGACGAGCCCCACCTCGTCGTACCCCGGCGCCAACGAGGGCACGTCGCTGATACCATGGCTCAAAGGGCTCTCGTCGGTGAACGGACAGATTGTCGGGGGCAGCGGGGGAGGCAGCGGCACTGCCAGCACCAGCAGCAGCACGGGGCTGCCGCCGCTGCACGCCATGCACGGGGGGCCTTCGAGCGCGCCCATGACGCCTCCGCTGAGCTCGCCCACGGCGCGGATGCCGCACGTGAAGCCCGAGTGGGACAAGTCGAACGACGACATCCCCTCGGCCTTTTGCGCCGCCGTGAGCGCCTGGACGCAGCCGCACTTCCTCGCGGGCGCCAGCGGCGGCGCCAGCGCGGGGCCGCCCCCGTTGCGCCCCGTGTGCGAATCGTCGGACGTGTGCCGGGGCTCGCCCTCGGACGGCGGGGACTCCGATCCGAGCCCCAGCGCCGTGCTCGAATTCGTCAGCGGGTGCAACAACAGCGGCAAGTGGACCAACGGCGTGCGCGTGCGCAGTGTGTCGCAGGCCGGCTCGGCGCTGGGGCTGTCGGGCTCGGCCTCGCGCTTCCCCGGGGGCATGGGGCTGGGGCCTTTCCCGAGCTCGCGCGCCGACTCGGGCAACGAGCCCTTCAGCACCTTCCCCTGCTCGCGCGCCGACTCCGGCAACGAGCCCCTCTCGGGGGCCTGGCGCCCGGGGCACGTGCAGTCGCCGCTGGTGCAGAGCCCGTCGACCAGCATCAGCGCCGTGCTCGATTCGGGCAAGCGCGGCGGCAGCAGCCAAGAAGGCCTCGGGAAAGGATTGGATCTGGAAATGTCAAGCTCGGCCCAGGTTGTGTCCAGTCGGCCCTCGGGCTGGGAGGTCGACCGCCTGTGCGACGACATGGAGAAGAAAGACGATCTGGAGTTGACGCTAGGAAGCTCAACTTTGCGAGTGAAAGTCAAGTCGGAACCGCGATGTCGATAGGTATATCTGGGGATGCGCCGGACCCCTAGTTTTGTAACAAAGATAGCGGGTTAGAGTAGACGAGATCTGGGGCGCTGTCACTTCCATCAGGCAGACTGGCACCCGATGCCTCCAAATTTTGTAACGACGAATGCATTGTCCCGTGCAATGTGTTTGCTAGGTACGCCTCGCTCTCGCTCTCCCTCTCTTTCGTTCTTGCTCATCTTCGTCATTTTCTCCTTCTCCCTCTCGCTCGTTTGCGCTCGCTTTCGTCGATGTCGACGTCTAGCGCCACCGATCTGTGCTCGGACGCCAATTCACGCCCATCTCGTGCGGTTGTGCTGATTGTGGCGTGTCTGTCCGCAGGTATAGGAAGTGGCGTTGTGCTTCCGTCCAGCCCATAATGCAGAGAACCTTGCTTCCCCCAACATGGATAGTTCCAATGGCAGAGGCTACACGATGGATCGATGGACGCTCACCGGAGTTCTTCCTGTAGTGCTTGGAAACACCGTGAGCATGTTCACTTTCATGTACCATAGTAGATCGTTAAGCCAACTTGGTCTTCCCTAAAACAAAAGCTTGACTACGCTTGGCCGCGTGCAGGACTACTCACTTCAGCGCTTGTTTCCAAAGGCTCTGACATAAACTTGTCTTTATATTTTGGTGGAAGAGTTTTCACTAGTTATGGTCAATCAATCTCTCGACTCCGTCCTTGTCTGTCGTCGTGATGAAGCACGTGATTGTGTTTATGCTTGTGTGTCGTGCCCTGGGTCTTCCTGATTGAACAATGCTCGCACTCTGCACCGAGTCCAAACAATTTCACGGCTGAGTCGGAAGTGGTCGTTGTCCTGCCTCGAACTCTCGTTGTGTGTTTACAATGGCACATTCGCATCCGTGTGCTAGCCATTTGGGAGGTTTAAAGAGTTACCTTAACTTTGATGTTGGATTATGGTGTCGTATTTGAGCTGTCCATTGAGTTTGACTGTTACCCTGAGTCTGATTCGCTCTTAGCCCGAAGTCCAGCTCGTGTGGCACTACATGCCAATGTCACAATTGAACCGTTGCTGTGGGACGTAAGGCAGAACACAACTACGACGAGTACATCTGAACTACCGTTGTTGCCATTCTCTATTTAGTGTGTTTTCTCGAGACGAACTGATGGTGCATCCTCGGCAGGATGTGAATTGCACCTAGGAAAGAAAAGAGCAAAAGAGTACAAAAGAATCAAAGAAATAGCGTATGTTATTGCGCAAGCACCTGTGTTAGAGTGCGTTCACAATTCATACCTTCATTAACAGTGGTAAAGGTGTCGAGAATGAAGGGGTTTGCAAAAGAGGATGAAAAGCAATGACTTTTTGTTTGTGCAAACTCGGAGAATGGACATTTGTCGATGTGGACGCTTTCCCTGACCCACGTGTTGAAAAGGCGAAGAAGCCGGGGAAAGAGAAGGGACGTCGTAAGTACGGAGCCAACATCTTATTGTAGCCGAGGCGAGATTTCCAGCGTGAACCAATAGCCGTCTCTGAGCCCCATACATACCCGCCATACCCGCCAGGCCACTTTTCACGTGCTGTAGAACTGTGATCATAGAAGCGCAGGGACGGTGGCATTCTGCAGTGGAGTCAATCCGAAGGCAGCATGGTCGGTCAAAGCTGTAGTTGAACAACTTGTGCTGTCAGAAAACATGTCGACTGCTCGGAATGGGCTCACAGTGAAGGTGTGACGAGTCTCACAAATGGAGAGTGAAACCCTAATGAGACTCCACACGTGAATGCACCGGCTCATCAGTAACAACGACAATGACTCGAGCGCAGCACGTCAGTTCGTTCGTGCGAGTCACGCGCGAGGAGCAGCAGTCCGATGGTTTGGAATGCTCGGGCAAGAAAAGAGGGCATCGACAAAATCTCACCAGAACCTACGGAAGTCGACAAATCTGGATTTGGACGGAGCTGAGTTTGACTTCAGAGACGGGGAGACCGGGCGAGGGGGCGGACATCTGATAACAATGCGATGGACGAGTTTTGTTGCATCGGGTGAAGAAGACTTACTCGAAGACACATCTCCTCCGGCACCATTGCATCGATTTGAGGTGAAATCCGAACCGAGATCGCAATGTTCCTTGCACATGACACCACGCGAGACCGCGAAAAGACGATAAGACAAAAGCGCAAGTTCCTCGATCGGAGGATACGAAGCTCCATCGCAAGCCGCAGCTACATTTAGCAAGCGCCATAGATGTTGTCCGAAATGGCTGCGACGCATCTAAACTTAGACCCGGGAATGGCCGTGTCTGTCTGTCGCGCGTGGGCCCTGGCGGCTAAATGCTCATACTTCCCGACGTATACTTTCCCAGAATTTATGTGCGTGGGGCTCGCAGATAAGACAAATTATAAGTCCTAATTAAAGAGGCTGGAGGTGTCTAAATGGGACGTGTGGACTCGTCCATTAATTTAACATGAGCTCTCGTGCTCTCCTCCTCCTGCCGACTGCAATTGGCGGGTCTGTAATATCTTGTGGTTATTGCCAGGACGGTGAATGGACATTTTGGAGCCAAGTCACGTGCGATGATATTACTTCCGTTGGATTGTAGTCTCGAATTTTGGTGGTCCGATTGACGATGCAGGACTTTGCAGAAGTCTGTAAAGTAGTCCATCCTCTCCGGTCTCGAGTTTGGATCGAGGACGAACTCTGCTGAAACATACAGAAATGCACTCGGCGTTGCTCGAAACAAATATCATGTGAACCATTATTCACATGATTTTTGTTTCGAGCAACGCCGAAAATCTGCTATAAATCAGTACATAAATCTGCCAACTTCGAAACCACAAAAGGCGAAACAATATTACTATTTTTTCGCCAATTATTCACAATTCTTCTTTTTTCTAAGCATTTGGTCTTATGAAATCCTCTCCAACACATTTGGACAAATGAAATTTTGCTCAATTCTCATGCACTTCTGAGCTTGACATTCATCTGCATTCCAAGAAAAACTGCATGTTCTTCAATATGTAGATAAAATATTTTAGAAATTTTTAAAGAATGATTCAACTTTTTTATTTGGAATAAACAATTTTCATAAAAATATTTTTAACTTTGTTAAAATCAGCATATGATTTGAACATCAATAACTGTTAGATTTTTTAGTCATAGTTTTTCCAAGGTTAGGGTATTGATTTAATATACAGATTATGTCTAATTATAAAAATATATGATTAGCTATCAAAACTATAAATCTACTATATGACTTTGATCTTGATGTCATTCTTGTAAACAGACTTTTTTCTGCTTTAACACTAGTTAAAGCTGATGATGAGAGTTAAATGATAACTTTTCGACATTTGGTTATAGAAAATTTTCACACTTTCTAACTTGAGACTTACAATTGTGCAAATCTTGAGTTTTGAAAGAATTTCAATTTTGTAAATTCATGTCTGTAAGTCATTGAAGATGATCAAGAAAAAGTCACAAGGGTGTCATTGTTAGCAATAAATTTTAGTATAATCAATGTTTAAATGGTCAATGTAGATTTTACGTTAAAAAAATCATTACTTGTGTTCATGAATGACAATAACAAGTTTACAATGCATTGACCACAACATATATTTTATCATAAATTTTATATCACAATATATTACACACTATATGCAGTAATGAAAAAAAGTGATGTCTTCATTCTATATTAAATCTTCATTAGAATGTTCTCTAAATTGATCAATGAATATTTAAATGAGATATTTTTTGCTACCACATACTTATTTCCAGATTATAGATTTGACTTTAACACTTAGATATACATGTATCATCTATGATTTTTGTTACACTTCATATGATCTTTACAATATAGAGATGTTTTTATGATTATGTTTTTGTATAATTATTTTCAACAAAATATACAAAGTTTTCCAAAAATTAACAAACTTAATTATTGAAAAAAATATTATTAATTTAAATTTATTATCAAACATAAATATTTTTTAAATTATTTGTTAAATTAGAAAAAATAATATTAAACTCTAAATCAAGATTGTACTATTATTGAAAAAGTGATGATTCAACTATATCATCAGCATAATCCGTATGTAGAATCAACATAATTACGCATAAAGTATATAGATAAGTGATAAGCAAGAGATTTTGAATATCAATCAAAAATTAACAAAAATATGAATATGCTGAATATTTTTTTATGATAATTTATTACAAAATCTCATAAAGTAAAATCTTTCTAAAACCTTGAAAATGTGCATATTTAGAAACATGAAATCTTTGTGAGTTTATATTGAATAGTAAAAAAATTTCAAAAAATTGATGAATTATTGGAATAAAAAAATAAATGTCTAGGTTTTGCTAAAAAATTTCAAGTTTAGATTTATTTATAAATAATAAATGAAGGAAAATAAGAATCCTTTCTATGAATGATGATAAATTTTAAGAATAATCATAATGATATGTTGAAATCATCTTATATCTTATGATATAAAATATATTTTATATATTATATAAAATATATTGCTATCTTCAAAATTTTTTGAAGATAGAAAAATTTTAATTGACTCTTCAAAATTTTGAATTTTTTTTATTGAAATTTTTTTATAAAATAATTTTCAAATAAAAATCAAATAAACGATTAGATTTTATAAATTTTTTTGTAACGTATTTCAATCAAGATAATAGAAGTATTGCTTTAGGAAGTAAAGATTACGCCAACAACATAAACCGAAGGAAAAACTTGTGAATTATTATATTTTTTTTATGTGTTTGAAAATTTCATAACGTATTTGTATTATATTTTAGTCATTCTGTGAAAACTTAATATTTAAATGTTTTTTTGGTTTTTTTATATTCAATCTTATATTGAATAATATATGGCATATTGTGAGATTAAATATGAATTGATCATATTGCTTTCTGGATAATTTTAAATCTTATAGATTAAAAAAATTATCTGTATTTACTTCATGTCAAAATTGGATAAATAACTGCAATCAATAAAATTTATTATGATAGTTAAGTTGATCATACAACTTTCAAATTTGTGTCTGTTTGGAGAAAAAAAATATGGCATGCAAGTTATTTGTATATGATTTATTACAATTCAACACGATATTATCTATTTAAAATATTGCATGCAATTTGATAGTTTGTGAATTTTTTAATGGAAGTCTCAGAAATTTTGTAGTACAAATGTTGAGATTAGTTAGCATTGAAGTGCTTGTAAATTTTCATAATGAGATTTGAAAATATTAAGGTTGAGTTTTGACAATTGATATTGAATCTAAAGAAAGATAACTTTAAGTTATATTAAATATGATTTACTACAAAACGATATTATCTATTTAAAATATTGCATGCAAGTTGATATTTTGTGAATTTTTTGATAGAAGTCTCAGAAATTTTGTAGTACAAATGTTGAGATTAGTTAGCATTGAAGTGCTTGTAAATTTTCAAAATGAGATTTGAAAATTTTAAGGTTGAGTTTTGAAAATTGATATTGAGTCTAAAGAAAGAACTTCAAGTTATATTAATATGATTTATTACAATTCAACACGATATTATCTATTAAATATATTGCATGCAAGTTGATATTTTTTGAATTTTTTGATAGAAGTCTCAGAAATTTTGTAGTACAAATGTTGAGATTAGTTAGCAGTAAAGTGCTTGTAAATTTTCAAAATGAGATATGAAAATATTACGGTTGAGTTTTGACAATTGAGATTGAATCTAAAGAAAGAACTTCAATTTTCTTCTATAAATAAGAATTTTAAGGTATTTTTTTTAAATGTGATAAATTTACAATATTCATAGTTGTTAGGTGATCATTTATATATAGAAATTATATAGGAATATATAGAAATATATAAACTAAAATCACAAGGATTCCTTGTATGTGCAATATACAAGAAATTGTATTGCTTAGATTAGGACATAAAGAATCGAATTAATTTAAATTGTATTTTAAACGTTTAAAACGTTTAAGTCAAGGTTAAACGAAACTATTTAGTATTCTATTATATTGAGAGTTAAAATTATATTATCGAATTAGATATCATCATTGTCACCGTATCATGTCATATAGGTATAGTAGTATATCATACCATTCACGGAACGAGTAAAAAAGCATGAAGCTGTGATAGAGATAAAAAATATGTGTTATATCTTCAATCCATCCTTTCCAACTTTAGCATGGCAGTCATTGCTGATAAAATAAATTCTAAACGAAAATCAGCCGTATATCGAGAGAATCAAAGCTTTGCAAGATGGATCGAGGTTCGAAGCTATGAGTTGATTTTCATCTGTGTATAGCTGCGTCCTTCTCCCACTTGGGTTCTCTTAGACAATGATAATTTTCTTTGTCATTAATGTTAACAACAGTGAACAAACAAACATCGATTGCGGTATGTATAGGAGCAACTTCGAAAACTTAACCGCATATTAAGAATTTATCCTTGCTTTGTTGTGGACAAATTATAACTTCCAAAATTGTGACATCACATGTAGTGACTAACTAAAACCAGTCATAAAACCCGACTAGAGTCTAAACGAGACAAACACTCAATTTGCAGTTTCATCGTAGTTTGGAATTCATGCGGTTCGTCACGGGGTGATGAGACTGAAGGGCAGAATAGATCAAGATAAAGGGCGTCTCGATACTCGATACGATAACTAAAATGAATAAATAAAACAAACCACCTTACCATGACCAAGGCAAAAACTCATAATCACATGTAGGAGAGAGTATCCCTAGAACACAAGAGTGAACGCGTGGGGATCACAAACTTTGTCGAAAGGAGAGAGCTGATCGACACTCACGAAGATGTTCACAGAAAGAAATCGTGTTCATTGATAATGTAGTGAAATACAAAATTCCTCTTACGCGTCGAGACCATCGAGGATTGATTGCTCGAAAGACACCACCGCTATGGGTCGCCCTTTGAACATTGCGCCGTGTGTGTGATTTGGCTGATTTGTGTGGATCTGCTTGATTTGACTCGAAGGAAGGACCTCTGCAGAATCGGCATCGGGACTGCGTTCCGAGAGCTTCCTGGTCTGGAGAGAGCAGCAGCAGCGAAATAGCGCAACAGATTAAGCAGCAACAATGAGAATATTCGGCACCTTCGGAGAGCAAATTGAACTTCGAAGGCGCCGAAAGCGGGCACAAGTTTGCGGGTGATTTTGTTATGAGAGCCATGCGTGAAGTGCTTGCGTCAATCTTCGGGATGGAAACTGGAGGATTGCTGTAAGAGATTTGCCTACCTTCGGCGAGGTTCGACAAGGAGAGACCCGAGCACTCCGATCAGCCGAACAGCTTTCCCGCCAAGTTTTTCATTAAATCGAGAGCGCCTGTACCTTTTGAAATCACAATCGAGAATGATCGGCAGGTTTGCCGGGTGAGGCACTCGGGCAATGGCAACGATGCAACGCGAAAGATGCTGTGGCGACAACTCGGGCCCCGGTTAGATCGAGGAGTCAACTCAAATACGAGTTGAGGACCTAGCATCTAGTCTTGCGTTATTCCCAAGAGCTAATCCGCAGCAAGCGCGATGGCCATCTAGCAGGACAAACAAGCTTCAGAGAAAGGTGGAGGACTAGTTGCCTGTGGACTCCTCTTCGGCCTTAGCCCCTGCTTCGCCGTCCATCGGCTGCCCTTCGAGATTGACGGTTGCGCCACCATCAGAGGCGGTCCCACCCTCGGAGGTGGTGGCATCCGGAGACGACGGAGCTTCTTCCACCGTGTCCAGGGTCAACTGTACCACGCTGTCCAGAAGCTCCTCCGAAGGTTTGTTTCTGTTCGACGCTTGTACCAGTTCCATGGCACTCGTGAGCATCTCTTGCTGCACGCGAATGCTTTTGCGGTTCGTCACGGGGTTCGCCAGCTTCAAATCTTTGTACAATTGCACCAGATAGCCCGGGGCACCGGAAGGCTTCTTCAACCTGATTCACATCCCATTGCCACCAATTTATCAAATCCCTATTTTGGCTCCGGTGCTCGGCGGTCAGCGTAATTCGTAATCACATCGGGGGTTTGTGAGATAGACTGTGAGCTAGAAGCCTGCGATTGTGACGGAAATGCGGGATGAATGAAATAAAGTTCACTTAATCCTGATTGCCGGAGATTCGTTCGATTCGCGGATTGGAAGTTTGGGTCATGGGTATCTGACAAGACTCCAAACCAGTGCACAATTCGAGCTAGATTCTCAGATATCTGGTGAACTGCAAACCTGAAAGCGTCCCCCTTGATAAGCGGATCTCCTCGCTTTTTCAGATGACAGAAGTGACTCCGAGGACGATTGTGAATCTTGCGCAACCGTTCTAGAAGTTGTTGATTTTCTCTCTCGATCAACCTTAATCTGCCTGGTGGACAAGCCAGTAATTGCTGTTCAGCTGGTGCTCGAGCACAAAATTTTTCACTACGTCGTGTTTCAGGTGTTCAAGCTAACATAACGTATCAAAATGTAATTGCCATTCAATAGATAGCTTTTGTGTGCTTCACAATTGAGTGCGCCGAGTCAATTCGTAACGTAGTACCCACCTTCTTCGACAATTTGCCTAGATCGGTTCAATGTTTGGATCGAGGGTTGTTTGGGGGGCCCTTGGTCAATCGATGGCTTCATGTGCCTTATGTTTCTCAGCATTCTGAACAAGTCTCGCCGAAACTCCCATTTCATGAAAGGCGTAAAATTCTGTCTTCGTTTCATCCGATTGTCCACCGCCGTGCCCGAAAACTCGTTGCCCGTCGAAAAGCCCGACATCTCGACTGTCACAACAAGCCAGCCCCCGTGCTCAAGAAAAGAGACGGTCGATGAGGATCGCACGAGGAGGGGGCACTGCCATCATCGGGGTCTGCAACACCGAAACATGTCGAAGTCAGCGCGACCAAATGAACGGGCGAGAGGACCGACGAAAGGACGCAAGGGAGGAGGCTCGAATCTCGATCCACAGGAGGCTCACTCTGCCATGAGCCTTCGTCACATCGCAGAGCCAGAGACACGAAGGCAGAGCAAGGCTGAGCACACACGTCGTCGCGAGGTACTGACGTGAGTGGTGAAGACTGCAATGTCCCGCCGGCAATTTTTGCCAGCAGGAGCAAAATCTCACGCCTGCACCCGATCGCTCGATCGATGGATCCCTCGCTGCGAGCCGGGCGTATCAGATCGCACGCTCACTCCATCTCCATCGCCCCCGCCGAGCCGACAATCCTCGAGTCCCACGGCCGATCGTCCGAGCACGAGCACGAGCACGCGAGCATGTCTCACTGAGAGCCGAGGGCTCGCGCCAGCGCCAGCACGCGAACTCGACCTCCTCGCGGCCCGCTTAACAGCCGACGAGCGACAACCTTGCGCCCTCTCGCTGGCAACGGTTAGGCGAGTCGAGGAACAACATCGCGCTCCGTTCTTTGAGATTTCCGCGTCGCGCGGCCGCCAAACCATATCCGACCATCGCGCAGTCCGCGACCCACTACGGTCACTTCGATTCTCGAATCATTCTCCGAGGAGGCCGAATAAATGGAACATTAATATTGTTATATTTTGCGTCGGACGCCTTCGTCGCATGGGTCCGAAGAAGATGATTCTCGATAGAGAAATTAGATTCGGGATGTTTTATGGAGCCATTCGTGACGTGGTTGGTCGAGGGGAGGGGACAGTGCAGTTCCCACAGAGGACGGACGCACTGTGACGTGGTCGGTCGGTCGGTCGGTCCGCCGTCGGCTCCCCTGGTGGTGCCACGTGGCGGGGCGAGGCGAGGCCGCTTTCTATTTGTGTCGTCTTGCGCTTCGGAAGGTCGAAGGGCTGCCCGCGGGGAGGGCGACAACGTCCGCGGCAGGCGCGGGGAGGGGACGCTCCTCCTCGACCACGACGAGGAGAACGAGGACGAGGTCGACGAAGGGCGAAGGGCGAAGGGCGAGGGAGGAGGAGCGTCGAAGCCAGAGGCAGAGGCAGAGGCGCGCGCGCTGGGCAAGAAGAGAGAGAGCACCGCGGCCTCGAGGCGGACGAGCACTGACATCGCGATGGTGGCGGACGAGAAGCCGCGGCCCGCCGGCAAGATTTCGCTCGGCGCCACGTTCGCCAGCAGCGCCTTCAGCGCCTGCTGGGCCGAGGTGAGGGCGCAGCTCCGAGCTCCGATCGCAGATCTCGCTTGATTTTCTTTTTCATGTTGCAGCTCCTCCTTCACTTGCTCCTTCGTTCCGCCTCGATTTCTCGCCCGCCGTCCTTTCTGCGCACTCGAGATCGCCCCTCTCGACACGCCTCGAGGTCGATGGATTCCGAGAAATTTCCGGGCCGATCGCCGCCGTTCCCTTGGTCATTCGGCTCCCGAATGCTCCTCCGTTTCAACCCGGTGAATGTTCTCAGCTCGGGTCGTCGTTGAAATTCTCGATCTTCGCGATCATGTCGCTGCATTCCTGCTGGAGCGGATTCGTTCTCATTTTTCCCATTTATGTGTTTCTTCTGCTCTCTTACCAGTGTGCGTACTCTCCACTCCGTCCTCTGGTGAGAATAGTTGGTTGAATTTTGTGATTTTCGTTGTGCTTTCTGTTCACCCTGTTCTGTAGTGATCCTCAGACGGTCCCTCACCTTCTTCCTTTTTGGTCCATCACCTGCTGGTGCTGGTGGCTCATGACGGACAGTTTTCTCCGATCCACTCAGACTACTCTGTTTTCATGAGCTGACAACGAGGATTCAATTCTCTCTCGCAAGTTGTGGATTGACGAAGTTGATGGTCCGTAAGGCAGAGTACAGGATGCTGTATGCTGAGTAGATTTTACTCCATCTTTGTACCGCTTATCTCTCAACATTGCTGATGTTTTGATTTTGGTCTTCTCTTTTCGGTTTCTGTCACTCATTTAATTTTTTCTGATTCCCATCACGTTTTTAAACTGCAAGGCCTGAGTTTCGACACAGTGTCATGACCTCTCGAAATTTGGTCATGGCTTACATGTCCTCTGCAAACGTTACACTCATTTGCAAACACGTTGGCCTTCTTCTTGAAGGCCATTTAGTCTTTCATCGGCCGCCCTGGGGTGCAGGCGAGCTTCTTTAAGCTGACGACAGGATTCGTATCCTAGGCTCTGAATTTCCCTACGCGCTTTCAGACCATATTCTTGAGCCGAGATCTGAAGTATGACCTTCATCGTTTGTCATGACTGATGAATCATGCGTGGAATGCTAAGGTTGAAAATTGATGATCGTCCCTGCAGACATGTACAATTCCGATAGATACTGCTAAAGTTAGGCTCCAGCTGCAAGGAAAAGCATTAGCCGGCGCAGAAAATGTCGTTCCGAAGTATAAAGGGATGTTGGGCACTATGGGAACCATTGCTCGAGAAGAAGGTGTAGCTTCGTTGTGGAGAGGGATAGTTCCAGGTCTTCACAGGCAATGTCTCTTTGGAGGTCTTCGAATTGGTCTCTACGAACCTGTAATGTTTCTCCCGAACCTTAATTGAGCCGCTGTCTATTTATCCACATGTACTTGTATATGTCCATTGTATCTTTTGGTACTCAATCGAGCTTGATGCATTGGTTTCGTTATGACTTTGTAAAGGGATATTGTATGCCTCCATTTTATATGCAGTTTTGTTCTTTAGTGAACTGTGTTCTTAATACATATCACTGACGGTAGACATTATGTTCGACATTGTAGTTGACATCGCCACTTAAAAAGCTTTCACGGTCGTCTTGCTTTAATTCTCAACGCTAAGTTTGGTGGTGACTATGTATCTACCCATATATTCCTAATTGCTCGGAACTAATGCAGGTAAAGAATCTATACGTGGGTAAGGATCACGTTGGGGATGTGCCCTTGATAAAGAAAATTGCCGCTGGTCTAACTACAGGTAGAAAACTTTGCCAAGACCTTTACCTCCGTTCAGTTATGCAGTATTTAAAGAATATGTTCATGATTTTGTATAAACTTCATAGACTTCTTGTGTGTGTGCACTCATTCTTGCTTACTCATTACCTACTTACCTCTCTTAGTACTATCAAAAATACCTGCTGGATCGGTTTAGTCCTGCAGGCAGAAGCTGAAGATTACCTTATTTTGGGGGTTATGTTGCAGGCGCCTTAGCTATAACTGTGGCAAGTCCCACCGATCTGGTAAAGGTACGGTTGCAAGCCGAAGGAAAGCTGCCCCCTGGTGTACCACGCCGATACAGTGGAGCTTTGAATGCATATTCCACCATCGTGAAACAGGTGCGTACACACATTTGACTTCTCTGGTTATTGGCTATGCTAGAGTGGAAATGTTCGAGAATGTTTCAAACAAGTCTCTGTTCTCTTTTTGTGAGCAGAATTTATAAAATGAGCATGTGATTGAGTGAGATGTGATTACTGGATGAACACAGGAAGGGGTAAAAGCTCTATGGACAGGGCTTGGTCCAAATGTTGCGCGTAACGCTATTATAAATGCCGCCGAACTTGCAAGTTACGATCAAGTCAAACAGGTGATTCTTCTCTTTAGCCTGACTGTGAACTTTCAAACTCAAGTTTGTCTTCTACTTATCTAGTATGAAGGCTAGTGTTTTATCTCTACGTTGACGCGTAAATGAATGTCCTTGAACGTTAGCATTCACATATTTTGGACCAAATAGGTTTAATGTCTATAACCCATATGTGCTGCATCTCTCTCCCAACATTTATATGTTGGGAGATAGATTCTGTCTTCGGATACGTGATCAGTCTTCTGCGAGAAAGATTGAATGGTTGTTCATTTTACTAGGAGAGCTTCGCTATTGCTATATTATTCCTTTCATTCTTGTGGTTGTTAGGAAGGATGTTCTTGGCAGTTTCATCAGTGGAGGCTCTGATCCTAGCGTTCATATGCCTTACAGTGAGCCTGTTGATGAAGCTTCTCTATCCAACATTGTTGATGGTTGTTATAGGCTTTTCTTGCATCGGACTGGCGCCTCTATTCTGCTCTCTTAGTTCTCCCAGCACTGTCAATTTGGAAGCTGGTCTGCTTGCACTAGCTTCCATACTCCACCTAGTTTTGATTCCTTGTTTTTGTGGCAATTCCGCATGCATTTGTTTTTTTCTCAATCACCATTTCAGTTCTTGATATTTCTCGGCTTTTCTGCGATTGTCCTCATGGTTCGTTTCATCTGGTATATTTCCTTGCCTCAAGGCATCTGGTATATTTTGTTGGCACCGTTCAGACGCCACGTAGACATGAGTTTCTTGCATGCTCAGCCACGGTGGTTTGATCATGCACTATGTTATCAATATTTAGTCTTATGTGCCGATTTCAGCTAAAACCACCTTTCATGTGGAGAAGCCACTTACTTTTCTATATTATCTGGCTACCAGTAGAGCGTCAGTATATATGTCTTCACACAACAGTCGGCCTGTCCCGCTCTTTACTACTGCTCTTAATCTTATCTTGTTTATTGATTCTTTATATTTGTTACCGAACGCTCATACATTTTCGTTGAATTCCTGTCACATGACATAATTCAAGTCTGAATTTGGAAGGATGCAGCTGTTGCTTTGATATGCAATTTCTTTTACCGATCTTATCATATCTGTGTATTCGTCGGTGATTTGAGATCCTTAAGTTCCCTCATCTATCTAGTCTTGCAAACCTCCCATCTTGTCCCTTTATGCCCTCTGTATACTGTTGGTATTGTTTAAATGAGTTGTTTCTCATATGTAAAAGTTACAGGGTCTTATTTGTAAATCGTACAGTCTACACCACATTCTATTACAGACATACATTACAAGGCCAATCTGTTTGTTGTTGTTGTTTTCAAATTCTGTTGTTATTATCTCGTTAACAACAAGCAACACTCTGTTCACTACTCTCTTATCCTCACTTCTCTCATGCGATTACTACTACGTATTACATTAACGTCAACCTGACTTATATAAAACAGACGATGGCCACCTCAGATGGAAACTTTTTTCTCATAAAAAATCAAATTAATTATCAGACGTAACGTCTTCTCTACATTGACGATGGCAAGTTATCCACTTCATCTTGTTGGGTTCGACACCGTCCAGAGGTTTCCGACAGCATCATCCCACCGCGGTTTCATGTCTTCAACTGTAGTTATCACTTGGTTGGATTCTCTACTAGATAATTTTTTTCTAACTTTGATCGAAAGAAGGACGCGCTATCGTCAAACTATTTGATTTCGTATGGGAATCAACTGTGTTGTCTTCGTGGCTCACTATCACCGTCTTCACGCTCCATAAATTCGACTTAAAATAGCGTTCACTCTTTTCTCGGAACAATTCAAACTCTACACTATACTTGTCAGACGATTTGTAGACTGTAGACGACCTCTTCATCCCCCTTCGGTCCAGAACTCGCAGATTTGATGTATATATCTCTACATGCTATTGCAGGGGTATATATCCTAGGGAATCATCCTGCGACCTTAGTCAAACCTTCTCCGCCAACTCCTGTAGTTTGATGGATTTGGTTATTTCTCAATCTGCTCCGAAACTACAGATCCAGGCCCAGGACAAACGACGAGAGGCTCACTTTAGCGTATAACTCTCTTACATGCTCTCTTTAGGATTTCTTACCAGACATCAAGGCGCAAGTATTTGTTTTTCGTGCATATGTACATCTCGACTGCACCTACTCCAGACTAATCTATTTCGATTAGCAGCTAAGGCATAGACCACTACAATACTGCCCTGACTTTCGTCTCATGTCGGAATATGTCCACTCTACGCTATTAGTATGCCCCTTTGCTTTTCTTCTTCCTCACTTGTTTACAAACCCCTCTTCTAGCTCAATTTGGCCTCTACTAATCCTCTTCTTCCTCACGATGGCTTTCATATGCAGGTTTCTGTCATCAATCGATAATGAGACTCTTCGCTTTTTCAAATCTCTGCTTCCATCGATTTCGTTATCCTGAATGCTCCATTGCTTATAGCTACTGACGAGAATATACAGTTTTTCTTGTCTTCATGATGATTTAAACTGACAATGATGGTGAGAAATGTATGTTAATTGCTTCATCATTGAAAAAAGGAAAAGAACTGCAAAGGTTATGATAAATCTAGAATGATTCTTCCTGCTTGTTCTTCCACTCTCCCTCATAGGTACGTGCTAGGCAACATATGACATCGGTCTGGGCAATAAACATCTCTTTGGCTTTTTGGCTTAGAGTTCTCCTCATAACCCTGCGGTCCAATGCAGAAACCTATGCACCTCTCTATTCACTGATAAAGCAGCCGAGTCTAAGTGACAGAAACGTGACGCTTTCCATTCATATATTGTCGATGGCCAGTGGAGGCCTTTCTTCCGGCAGTCTGTCTCCTGTATATAACAGATTTTTGAATCTCTTGAGGGCTCATTGAATGAACCGAAAGAGAAGTCTTTATTGCTTTCTGCAAACTTTACCTTTGTCTTGCTCTAGTAGATGACCTCTGGAGATTACCATCAATTTGAATGTTATTCTGTCTGCGTGCTCTGAATCGTGTAGGAGATGTCCATACGCTTGGGTTGCTTCTTGTCCAAGTTTTGGACAATGTGGCATAAAGAAACCCAAGCGTTCTTGTTTCCCACTGCTGTGCAGACAGTTCATGCTTATTAGAAATGATGCTAGAAAGTAGTATATATGTTAATATGTATAGAATTGCTATTGCTTGTTCACCTTCTGTAGAGCTTGTGTAGTGTAATAGTTCATTTCAAAGAAATACCAAGGTGTTAGTATAGCATTGCATGACTCATTGTTGCTCTCTTCTCTTGTTTTGCAGACTCTTTTGAAGCTTCCTGGTTTCTCTGACAACGTAGTTACACACATACTCTCCGGCTTGGGCGCGGGATTCATCGCAGTGTGTGTTGGTTCCCCCGTTGATGTGGTAAGTAATTCCAGAACAAGGAATAGAAGTCGAACTAGGTGTCGACGCTCACTCTCGGTTCGAGGATTCTTTCTGTAATGTTTTCTTCACGATGATGGTTTTTGCTCTGTGCAGGTGAAGTCACGAATGATGGGAGATTCGACTGCTTACAAGGGCACCATTGACTGCTTCGTGAAGACTTTCAAAAATGACGTACACAAACTTCTCTTCTGTATTTGTCCTTTGCTGTCTTTATTCCACTATTATGGACCTGAAATACTTGTACCGTCCTTGCGAGCATGGTCTATGGTGACCTCAGTATGTCGTCTTTAGTGTTAACGGAGCTGTGCAGTTTTAAACATGAGCGGTTTCAAGTGGCTGCGTAGCACTGGTTTTCACAGTTTCTCAATGTCCATAACTTCCAGGGTGTGATGGCATTTTACAAAGGATTCGTACCAAATTTCGGCCGTCTGGGATCGTGGAATGTGATTATGTTTTTGACCTTGGAGCAGGTGAGATCACGCTCACTAACTTGATTGGTTTGTTATTGAACTCAGGCTGAATAGGAAATACATGGGTTTTGGATGGAACCAGTAGCAATGTATTGAAGCAGTTACCGTTGCGGTCAATTTTCATAATGAAGTAATTACCTATCATCGGTCCAACGATCGTTTTCGTTTCTCAAGTCGGTCGAAAAGTGCTATTTCTTGCATAGTTCTGACTGGTCAAACTAATTGTCTTCAGGTGAAGAAATTGTTCGTGCAAGAAAATCCTGCCTTCGCCTGATACGTGTCATCTTAGACCGATAGTGTGAAAAGGAGGAAAATCCTTCTGAGCTGAGCAATAAGATTCAATTTTGTCCCTTGTAAGCACGGAAGTATAGTGATCAATTGATTTGGCCTACAACGAATAAAGGTTCTGTATATGACTCACACATCCGGACACTTTGTTGTAGACATTTTTCCACGAAAATCTGGACATAGTGTCAGATGGAAAATCTATTAAAGAACATATTCTTCCTGCGTACTTGTTTCTCTCTTCCTGCGTAGACGTTTTCCGAGTCAAAACCCTCACCTTGCTTACATGGAAATCATAGGAAGTTGGTTTAATGATAGGAATATTGATCTATTGCATGCTACATTTGTTAAAAATTTGTCGGCCTTTCATGTCAGGATCATAGTACATCTATTATTTGAAAATTCCTTCTATTGTATTGGAGTGAAAGCACATTTTGCATCGTTTTTCAGTGTACAATTATAAGTTGAACTGTTGTCGCCGGTGAGCTTCAACTGTTATTTCCTGATGATGTAATCAGCTCACCACAGTTTACCAACTAAAGAGCAATTGGTTCGTGTTTGTGATGGACATAATAGGTGTTTTCATCTTTGATGTCCAAACGAATTACACAGAGAATGTAAATATTCTGTGTTCTTTGTAATGTCAATTCCTCATTCCTTCGAGGGGTCAAATATCAAATATGAGGAAATTTCGTCTAAGAAGGATGTAAGGGGATACAGATGGAAAATGAGAAGCAAGCTTGAGATAAGGAAATCATTGCCGCAAAACGTCAACCAGAGAGTATGAAATATGACAATGTCGTTAAAGCATATCCGGGGATAAAATTGGAGTATCAGAAAGCAAAGCTCGATCAAGGAGATCACAATCACACCGCGTTAACGTGCTTTTGTTTGACTCCGCGTTTAACTCACGTAGTGTAGAACAATTCTGGCGTCTGATGTTTGACCTACAAATGAATTCCAACTTACCAACCACATCAAAATAACGCTGAGTCTTTGTCGAGCACTTGCAGCATAGCATAGGCTGACAGTTCTCCAGAATATTCAGCAAAGTTCTTCGGTCGCCTAAGTATTGTGGCACTATCCTCAATATACTGAAATATCGCGCACGCTCGCTTCCATGGTAGCCTATTCATGGTCCTGCTTGAGGAGAGCCCTCCACATCAGCAAGGCTCCCACCAAATTCACAGTCCCAACCTGTTAACCAGAGTCCAGCAATCGTAGATAACGGTCAGGTTAACCTGGAATGATTCATGAAGATGACCCTCCATTTGTGCCTTCATTAAAAAACCGACATACCACCATGCCTTATGAAGGTGAAGTCATATCCAGTCGAACGAAAATCCGAAATCACTTACAATCAGAAGTGCAGACGGAACTGCACGCACGAAGACGAGCCAAGCGAAGCTCAAGAAAATAAACTGTCCAACAGCAAACGGGTGCCAAAAGGTGCAATGCGTCAGAAGGCATCTTCTTCGTCTTGGTCAGCGAGCAATTAGCTTGATCTGTGCGTCCTAATAGCCGGTATTGTGACGCATGGGAACCAACATGCATGTAAGGAAATTTAGGGAGGCATAAGTTTATAGCATCACGTACTATGCGGCCCACGATAGTGGAGTAGTAGAAAGCTTCTGCGCCGCGGATACCGCTCAAATCGCCCACTGCCGTACCAATGTAATACACCCCAAAAACCTGCAAGTGGCTCGTCACGTTGGGAGCAATGCTAGTCAATATCAATATTTTGGCACAAAAGATGAGGAGACTGGAATGTCCTTGAAAAGACAAGGAGTGGAGGGATTTTTCGTACCACTGCCAGTACGGCTCCGACCTGAATCCACCCGCGAGATACAGTTTGAACATGAAATAGAAGGCCTTCGATCCAGAGACGAGACGAGCAGGAATCAGTGGCTGGGGCAGGGGCTTGCCTTTGCATCATCAGGCAAACATTAAAGTTTTCTACTGTACGAAGGAATGTGCACAACCATCCGAACTGCACTTCACAAAATTCTTGTGGAGGTTATCAGACCGGAGATAAGATAAGAAGCTAACCGAAGAGCTCTGGGGATCCCAATAAGAGCAGGCCCAAAATGAATATGTAAATTCCGGTGAAGAGGGCAGTCCGGGCCGGCCTGCTTTGAATGGTCTTAATTCGGGTAGATATATTCTTCAAAGCGGTCTTCATCGCGTCCATTATGTCCTTACCATATTCTAGTGAGCTAGACCGTGTCAGGGCGTTCATATTTTGCTCATCAGAAGTACCACCAGCTGCCTTTCGGATGCTACCTAGCCACAAGTTCAGACGGATTGATTGGATTCTTTGAGAGGAACTCATTGAATCAGTAAAATCAAGTGCAAGCAACTCATGGGCTTATGGTTAGCAACGTGTTCTGAATTCTGAGCTAGGAAACTTACAGGATGCCACCATCGGGTGCGAGCATGGCAACCTGAGGTACACAAGTGTCACTATTTGCGAGCTGCAGCGTTGCTTCGTCACCTATTTTGATAACTCCATGGTCTTGGAAGGCCATGAACACTTTTGCCGGGTGCTCTCCAGCTCTACCGGCTTGAACAACACCTTGCAGTCGGCCAAGCACAATCACATCTCCACCCGCTAAGACACACCCTCCCGGGCTGACATCTCCTTGAATCTGCAGGACCATCACCGGTACCATGAACTCAGTTGCAAATGATTGATAATTTCAAGGCTTGACTTTCTTAAACTGAAGTCATTTAAGGTAGAATAGTGGAAGAGGTTGCTACGATATGACATGGAAGACAGAAGCTATGGTTCAAAGATCAGAGGTTGAGTACATAGTAGTTCAGAACTATATCTAAAAAGATTCGCCTCACCTCTACCAACATTGAAGTAAAAAGGAAGAAGAAGCTTCTTCAGCTTCTCATCCGTGATTTTTTCTGCAAGCAGGCTCGAGGAGTTTGATCTAGTTTGAAGTCTAGACTGTGACGGACAATGGACAAAAAGTAGAGACAATATCAGTGGGAGTCACATGCAATGTCTTACTATGATGGAACCAGAATGCTCCACAATTTCTCCATCGCAAATTGTTCTCTTCAAATACAGGCACTCACACGTCGTCTCACCTCCAGCTCCGCACTTCTCCTTCTCAATGTGGCCGGAAGACCATGCATCCTCCCCATTAACATCATCAGGCCTCATACTTCTTGAAGCTTGCAGCTCCCTCTTCCTATATTTCGTACCATAGTCGTCCAGAACAACTTCAAGAATTCGTCGGAACCGACTTCCTGTATAGTTGATTCCGCATGTCTGGACATGAGGACCCCTGGTGCTGCTGGTGATAGGCGTACAACTTCGTGCTGCTGGAAGTCTCTTTCGTGCTTCAATACAGCAATTCGGACTTCCAAATTGAGATGCCCAGGAAGGACTGGTGCCACTCATGGCAAGCAGCAGGTGAGAGGCCATGGCTCCTGAGCAAGAAAATCACTCCATAGTTTGAACAGTAGTGGGGATCTTGCGCTCATGTGAGCGAAACCTTTGGTTCCGGGTGAGCGATCATCACATGGACGAATAGACCTGGTGAAGATTTTACGTGGACACGGAGGTCATTCGTGATGACGCCGAGTCACTGATATCTCACATTCGACTCGGCCCATCTCCTCCCGATGGCGAATTACTTGCGATCTCGCTTCAACCGCCATCCCATGCACAACTTGCACAAAAATAGCTGTGCTCACCCCGCCCGCCAGGGTACAGTGTGATCTTCACTTAACCCTAGCAGGATTTGGATACACATTGACAGCAAAGTACTAGCGGGCTCCGGACCTTCCGAGCTTCTTGTTCCGCAATTGGGTGCCCGGCTTCTTCAGCTCCCAACCCATCATAAGGGTCCGTATAGGACAAATGAATGCCAGATCCGGGGGCCTATGAAGGTACAGACGCTTTCGACGTCGAAAACGTCGAATTCGAGTTGAACACATCGCCGTGGGCGCTATAGCTCGACCCTTCGTTATCTGTTGTGTACACGGATTGCCATCGCGTTGGTACTTGTCGGTTGAAGAAGACGACGAGGAAGGAAACATGAGGGCGCTAGGAATTTGGCTCATAGTGGTTGGACTCGTGCGTCTTTCTTCCGTCTGGTTTGGGTTCTTTGACATTTGGGCGCTGAGAATGGCTGTTTTTTCCAAGACTGAGAGTAAGTCGATAAGATTACCGGGTAGTGTTTCGGATTTGCAGCTACCGAGTCGAGTCGAGTCGCGCAGTAGACTAGATCGAGGCAGGTTTTGAGCAATGGGAGGTGCTTGGATTTGAGACATTGTGACGCAAAAAGCCCTTCGTGCGTCACAATCCAACAAAGTCTCTGATTCCAACATTGGCCCTGACCTAGTTACGAGCTCTCACATCTTGCCAATCTGTTTATCTGTCACATTGCTTCTCCCTGTCCAGTTGCCGGTACCAGGCCTCTGCATCTAAGCTATCGCTCTTCTTGTCATAAGATTCTCTGGTGCTAGATCTTCTACTGCGTTTCTGTTGGGTTTGTGTTCCTGTGATCTCTTTTCCCCGATGGCCTTCGAGTCTTTAAATAGCTTAAATAGCTACCAACTGAGTTGATCTATTTACCAACGTTCAGGGTTTGCAGATTCAGGCCATAAGTTGCTCAGTAGATTGACCGTGGGTATAATCTGGGCTTCTTGTGAATGCTGTGGCAGTGTCAGAGATTCACGGGAGGACATTTGGGACGTGGACACTTCTAACGTGCACTCTGTGCATCATCTGCGCATTGAATTTGGAAAATAAGCCTCTCTACCTGACAACATTGCTCTCTTTTGTGTACGCACTCGGGCATTTCATCACAGAGGTTTTCATATATGAAACCATGGCAATAAAAAACCTTGCCACGGTTAGCTTGTTCGCAGGTGCAACCTCAACCTCTCTTTCTCTTCGTGTCTGTCGTCTTCGTTCAAGTGGCCCAGTTGCAGACCGTCGTCTAATCCTGTGTCCGTTGGTTGACGCGCAGTGCCATCGCTTGTTTGGATGATCGTGGAGTACCCCAAGGCTGATCAAGTCACCTACGGAAAACAGGGATGAACTTCGCCCATTCTTTGTCCGCGAACACCGGAAATCGCAGGAGCATTCGATATCAAAGTAGCACCCTTTACAGTGCATTCTGCAACTCTATCATCTAGCTAGAATAGTGTGAGCATTCAAGCCATGGAAGCTGAATTTTTTATACTGCAACTGTCGTTCGATCTGCTGAGATGAGATTATCCTTGTCGCTGCTCTTTCTGGACGTATTCTTCGCGGCCCGGTCTTACAGGGTGGAGCAATAATTCCTCTGTGCATTTGTTGCGTGGCTAGCACCTAATCATGAGTAGTGATACGCACCTTGGTATCTGTTTGTCTCTTTGACTCTCTACACTTCGCGAATTTGGAAATTGTGTATGTTGCACACACACTTGTAAGTTGAATTTGGACCTTTGTCGCAGCTTGGATCAGTGTTTGTCGGTAGGACTGACATTTCTCTTGGGCATGTTTCTGAGTCAATAAACTATTCGGAAAGAGCAGGGAATTCTTCGAATCTGGAGCTATGGGTTAGTCCGTTGAGGCCTCCAGGCCATTAGTACCTAACTCATTACCTATATCGAGAAGGCAATGGGCGCGCGAGTTCTGAAGTTCTCGAGAGAATCCGAATCTGTCTTGCACTGGATGGGAATTACGGAAGTCACGGCAAGCAGGTTTGCTCTTCATACACTAGGGTCCAAACAGATATTACTAAGGGGACGCTAGACTCTGGCACTCTCCACCTTCCAACTCACGCTGAGCATCATCTCCTTTTCTTCCTCACGCTGCATCAGGGGATAGATCTTCTCGTCCTCCGTACACAAAGAGTTGTGCGGGAGCCAATGTCAACGGGGAGCGATGGAGGCCTTTAGGGAACCAGCGAGAGGGGAAGGACCATCGTTCCCTCAACAACAGTCCAGAATCTCGATCGTCACGAGAACCTTTTCCTACAAAATATTCACTCACGTGGCACCAACCTCGATGACCAGAGAAAGACCTTTCTGGTCGCAGCATGAGCTAGAAAGGAGCTCAACCCACAAAAGCTCATACACCACACCTCGTCACCCACACACATAAGCTGACTCCGATGCACGCCACCAAATCCCGTCGCACGTTATCTGCATCCGCTCACTTCTCATGTGTGTCGGGTGATGCCGGGTTCGACGGTCTCGAGGAATCGAGGAATCGCACAAACAGCAAACCCACGCCGAGGGCCATCGCGGGAGATGCCACCTCCTGCCACTTTCTGCCGAAAAGGAGGCTTTTCATCGAGAAAAACTTCCAGCCACGAACACGTTCTCTCTCTCTCTCTCTCTCTCTCTCTTCCTTCTCTCGAGCGTCAGCAGCCGGCATCCGGTAGCCAGCTGCGCGCGCATGCGTTTCTTCTCAGCGCTCTCCACGTGGCAAGATCGATATCAAGATCGTCATTCGAACCAGGCGTTACGCTCGCTTCCGGATTCCTCCAGCTCTTTGACCGGGACCCCGGAGGACGGATTTCCCGCCTCGGAGTTCCAGATGCCCGTCTTCTACTATTTCAGCCTTTTTTTCATGTTCCGTATGTCCGATGATGTACTACTGTACATACGGGGCTGTGCTGCCGCCCGTGCGAACGTACTTTGCCGACCAGTGTAGTCGACGGGCCTGGTTGGTAGGGACTAAAGTAAATATAAATAAATAAATAAATCTCTCTCTGTTATCTAATGCAAAAATTATTGGATACTTGTTTCTCTTGTCTGAATCTAACCATTCCTCTGACATGGATTTGTAGAGGTAAACATCGAACTTGTGACTTATTCGAGATACAAGTAACGAACTCACGGAATATAGTCATCCCTCTATTTTAGTAGCAACTCTAGTGGTCCATGGCTCTGCACTTCCAATATTCTAGGAAGTGCTGACACCTAGCCACAGTCGGGCGGCGCTTCAGTGGCGCTTCAGTCTGGACCCCGATGAACTTGTACTAAGAAAGTAGGCATGAATTTTCGACACTTTCCAATCGAATTTTCAGAACATGTTTGTTCCGTGTCTACGTGTGAAATTAGTTTCAGATTGCAACTGGTTTTTTTTAGTCAGCGACTGTATTCCTTTGTTCTTCATCACTCGCTTTCTTTGCGCCCTAGGTTGAACTGCTACCATGGCTTCTTCTTCTTCTTTCCGAGGGCGATTTGCGAAATTGAAGCTTGGGATGAGAGTGAACTTGGGAGCTAGAAGCAACCAGTATCATGTAGCATAAATCGGCACTATGCATGCACATTCATGCCACATGATCCTGAAGAAGAGAAAGTGGCGATTAGATAGAAGGTAAGAAGAGGCGTATGAAAATCACCTTCTGATGATTGACGGTGATAATTTGTATTAGAGTGCGCAGTAAAATAGCAAAAAGGAATGGAATAACCCATCGATTCTTACAAGGACGAAACGAATTGGGGTGACATGGAGCTAGTCACTGATAACATCACACTAAAAAAAATATGGTCATTGCATCCATTATATACTAACTATTTCCGTTTCAGTTGCAAATAATAAGATCATGCAAACAATCATCAACTTCCATGAGTTAAACCCTTTTTTTCAACTCATCACATCTGACAGTGCTCATGTAAAGTAATGAGTTGACTCAAATAGTCTATCAAATCATCTAAGTAGAATGAACTTGTGACCTTCAACTTAGAAGGTTGTTGCTCTATCCAACTGAGGTAAGAGTGCAGTACATTCCTAACCACTTTGCAAAAAAAAAAAAACGAAAAATTCCCGAGAAGCTTGCTTCTTTCTTCTCTCCCGCTTTATTCGCATTGCGAATGAAGGCTATTTCTTGATTTCTAGTATAATACGTTTTCATGCTTCCCTCACAAATATCAAATATCAATAATCCTAACTCGACACGCTGTAATAAGAAGATGAATACGTTGCAGTCCCATATCTTTACACTTAAAAAGAATTTGGTTTTTTCCATTACAACTGCCTTTTATTGGGACAGCTGAAATTTTCTCTTCTTAATTATCACAAGTAAAAAAATCAGTAATCATCATGTTTATAACATAAACTAGATCATCATGAATCAAATATAAATTTGCCTTATTCGTTTGACTTGTTATTCATAAGCAAAATAAAGTTGACTATCTGATTTGACTTACTGTCCGTGAGATGGCATGAGAGAATAAATACCTACTGCATTATTAGTATATAAAAGAGGAATTTCACATAAATCAATAAATGATTGGAAGACATATCAAGCCGAACAAGGAACAAACCAACAAGATACTAGAAGCTAGGTCTTGATAAAATGGTCATATAAATCTGTCTTAACTAAAATTAAAATTACATGTGAATATTTTTAAAAGTAGGTGAATATATCGAGTCAAAAAATCATTATTGTATATAAAGCATCCAATGTATATAAGAATATCTTAATATAGGTTAATAAAAGGATTCTGATATTTTTTATTGTAGCAATATACTTAGTACGTCATTATATTACCAAAAATGACCAACTAAAAAAGTACCAAACATAAAGCATGCTAAGATGATTGATATAAGAAATATCTTAGACTTTTTTGTCCAATTACGTTAAAAAATGGATTTCATAATTCTGAAGTAAAAAATTCAAATAAAAAATGAATATATTATCAAAAATAATAAAATTGATATATATACATGATTTTAAATAGTTTTTTTTCATTGAATTTAAATCAAATTATAAGTAAAAAGATTTTAAAATGAAAGCATTGCCCAACAAGCCCAAATTGTTATCACTACTTTTTTTACATCAGTTTCAATTCTAAATCTGATCCAATTGGTAATTACTGCTATATGAACCAAAAATTTGATTTGTGTAAAGTTTGTACGCATATTTTTTGATGTGGTTGATAATATTTTAGTTATCATTAAAAAATGGAAAACATGAAATCATACATGTTATGAGTGAAAAAGATGAAAAACTGAAAAAATGTCTAACACTATATATGACAGATTAATATGATGTATATGTCTTTTACCAATTAATATAAGACATATACATTATTTCATACATGTATCATATCAATCTGTATATAAATAATATACATTTCAATTACAAAAGAGGATTGTTAAATTCACCTTCGTCAACCTGCGACGGGCTGAATTTAACAACTCAGTTAAGAATTTAACAAACCCTTTATGAAATGAATAAGTTGTAAATATCTTATCAATACTAGTGAAAATAATGTAACAATACATCTAGCTAGTTTGATAGACAAAATATGTAACAAAACTCTAAACTGGAGCTGAAAGTATTACTAATGTTGACTCTATTTAAATTGTGACGAAATTCTTGAAGTGTAGAGATGAAATCAAGTCTTGCAAGAGCTGACAGTTTGAAGTTCAGTCTTTAAGAGTGCAACTATTGAAGAAAAAATTGTGCAAAAAGAGTGAATTGAAGTCAATTCATGCTATAATCATGAGCATTTTTTTTTTTGTGGAAAAATGGAAGGGTGAAAAGATTAATTTTAGATCTCAAAGTGCATTTTAAGATTAAACATTCAGTTTGAGAGCGCTTTGGAAAATTTGAATTAATTTTTTATTTTTATTGATTATGGTAGAGTGCATATGATGTTGACAGAGTTAAATTATGATATTGATCTTGTAATAGATTTGGAATTTCATACAATAAATTTTAAAGTTTTGTATTTGATAGCATTGTTGATTTTAAGGCAGATTTTTTGAAAACTCTATAAATCGTTGACAAACCTGATTGATGCTTATAGTTCTCTTCAGAATTTAAACCAAATTGTCTACAAGAATTTTGAATTGAAATTCTTGAAAAGAAAAAAAATAAAATAGCTACAAGATGTAGAAACATCATTAAAATTTTTTTTGTTTCGAATCTGAGAGCTAAATAATAGAATAAGCAGGGTAGCGTCAAATTTGTAAAAATTTGTCATTCAGGTAGTCAGATAAAAAATAAAAAATGTTAAAAATTCCTGTAAAAATGATTTGTGTTTGTAAAACCTTATGGAGACATGTACGCCCGGAAGTGTGTAATTCTGCTATGGATAACTCGTTTGCACATAAGAATAACAATTAAGTTGGATAGAGAAAAAAAATTCTACCTTAAGACAAAATTCAAGGATTGTAAATGGTTACGAGGAGTTCAAATGGTTCAGCAAGATTTCCAATCTTGTTGAACCATGTCGAAATATGACATCGTTAGCAACTCTATTTGCATTTGAAAATTTATAATATGCACAAGCTTTCCATGGATCGTTTATGATTTCCCTATACTAAAATCTGTATTGAATCTGTTTGATTGTAAAATCAAACAGATTTTACAAAAATCACATGATGACCAGTTTTGTTATTCGATATTGAAATTCACAATTGGTATATCTTGGATATACCCATGGTTCATGAAAGAAACAAGTAAGACGTTAAGTGTGATGATAATTTATGTAGGAAGTGTTCACTTGTAAGATACATGGCACATCATGCTTGTACCTTGGGGTTTGAGCAAGATGAATCCTTGAAAAATCATGTGTAAAACATTCAAATACGTCAAAAAAGCCATCAATCGACCTCAAACACATCCACTTGCTCCGTAGAAAATATGTGCATGAAAGGAGGCCAAAATCCACAAGTTGACATCCCAAAATGGGCAGATGAGAAGAATCTTCGTCGGCATATTCCTTTTCGCATGCCGGAAATAGACTCACTCCTCCTGTGATCCGGATCGGGGCCAGCGACGAAGGTTTAGTGGAAGGAGATCGGGGGAACTCGTTAAGACAAGGGGTTGGGAGGCATTGACCGGAGTCCCTCTGACTTCCGGGTCGCGCGCAGGACTTCCGACGGCAGGCAGGCAGTGGGTCGACGATCAAGACTTGGGGCGTCCGTCCATCGGCTTCCGGGAATCAGCAGGCCGAGCCTTTGACCGAGTTGGCGTACTGCGCACTCGACTCGATCGATAGATCGATAGATCGGCATCATGGTTGTTGTCCCCGTTCGGAGAGCTCTTGACTCTGTCAAAAGCACGAGCGTCTGTGGGTGCCGATTATCCTTCACGGCAGGAGCACGGCGGGGATGGCCTGATCGCTCCCCGTGGGCTTCCCAACCATTAGTCGATCTACTCGATCATTCGCCGATTGATCGACCGCCGGACCGACTCCCTCCACGGAGAGGCACTTTGAGCCTGCTCGGCCGCTCAGTGGTGAGCGTTGTTGGTGATTATGTAATCGAAAAACAGAAAGAATGTGACCGACGTGGCGCAGGCATGAGGATTGTCGCCTTGGAGCAGACGAGGATGAAGTTAATGTAGAACCTCTTCGTTCGTATTGCCGGGAGATCGGTGGGAGCCGATGCGTTTGACATCGAAAATTATTCTGGTCCTGTGGTTCGAAAGTGGTAGCAGGGAGAGGGTTGGGCAAAGGTAGTATTATGGACTCGAGCGGATACTGGATTCAGGTTGGGCTGTTGCTGCTCGTGTGCGGACTGCAGCGTACGTGTGGAGATCAGAATGAAGTAACGATCTCTTGTAACGGTGCTATGGAGAAATCCGTGTTGCAGGTGAAGACGTGCGAGTGCCCGAATTGTGGTTGGGACGTCAGCAGTCGGACTTTGGATCTGTCGACCTACACAGCGCCTCTTGATGTTAAATTTGGTGAGTATTGGTCATTGAACGGTATCAGCGTTCTCATTGAATTCGTTTGTACCGCAGTGTGAGAGCCGAGCCTGTGACGAGGATGTGTCTGTCACCTGCAAGCTTCGCGTAGCCAGGACTGTTTAGGCGCATTCTAGCTCTGTGCAGGAAAACTCCTGCCGCTCGTCGACGTGTAAGATTCTGTCTTAAGTCTGAATTAAGAGGATGAATGGACCGATTCGAAGGAGGAAAATGGGCCTCATATTTTGGCCCGCCCGTGGAAACTGTGCGGGTCAAGCCGCAGAATAATTCGCTGGAAGACTGGCAGTTTTGTGCTTCTCTGTCCGGTCGGATTGGACAGAGAAGCAGGCAGACCGTATCCGAACTCGATTTCTCTCGGGAGCCTGTCCTTGCACCTCCGACTGCAACTGCCACTGCTCCCAACTGTCAGAACGTGTAAAATGTCCGATCAAACGGAATATCGTTCTCTGATTGCCGCCGCGCTGCGTGTATGGGCAAAACGGGAGTTGACCACAACAATCATCGCTGAAAAGAATCAGCATGACGAGGCCTATTGTAACGTGCGAGTTCGTGTCGTGCTCTGTTGTGCAGTGTTGAATGTCGAGAACCAAGACACACATTCTAATGTATATGGGCAGATACAACCGAGCGGTTCAGATTGCACGCCTAGCGAGAGCTCGAACTGGCTCAGATTCTCCTCGAGCAATGACCAGTATGTCGTAAGCTCGTCGGTGAAGAGCAGCTCGAAGCTGTGGATGTTTTACTACGGCAACAGCAGTGCCAGCGACATTGCTCCTGGATCCAATCCCTGCGTGACGGAGGCCGTCTTCCTGAATGTGAAGGAGGGCGTCCCCCTGAGTGTGACCGGCGCTGCGGACGACAAGGCCGATAGCGTGAACCGAGTGGGCTTGGTCGTGGGGGTGGTGGTGGGAATCGCCGTGGTCATTGCTGCGCTGGGGCTTTTCTGGAGGAAGCGCACGATCTGGCACAAGCTGAGGCCCCTCAACAGCAGCACCGGATCCAAGGACAGCGATTTCGCGTCCGTCAACGACCTGTCGGATTTGGAAGCCGGCGCGCCGCACCACTACGCGTACAAAGACCTGAGCGCGGCCACGCACAGCTTCAACTCCAAGTACGTGGTGGGCGAGGGGGGGTTCGGCACCGTGTACAAGGGCGTGCTCAAGGACACGGGCTCGCCGGTGGCCATCAAGCGGCTGTCGCAGTACGCGCGGCAGGGCGCGCGCGAGTTCATGGCCGAGGTGAAGATCATCAGCCAGCTGCGCCACCGCAACCTCGTGCAGCTGCTGGGCTGGTGCCTGGAGAAGGACGAGCTGATCCTGGTGTACGAGTTCATGCCCAACGGTGACCTGGACGACCTCATCTACGCCGACAAGCCCAAATGCGACCTGACGTGGAAGCAGCGGTACAACATTCTGTGCGGCGTGGCCACGGCTCTCGTGTATCTGCACGAGGAGTGGGAGCAGAGGGTGGTCCACCGCGACGTGAAAACCAGCAACGTCATGCTCGACTCCGCGCTCAACGCGCGACTCGGCGACTTCGGCCTGGCCCGGCTCTCGGCGCACAGCCAGGCTCCTCAGACCACTCTGGTGGCGGGCACGCTGGGCTATCTGGCGCCGGAATTCAGCCTCTCCGGCAAGGCCACCGACAAGACGGACGTGTACGCTTTTGGCGTGGTGGCGCTGGAGGTGACTTGCGCCCGGCGGCCGCTGGCGCCGGATTTGGTTCTGGTGGATTGGGTTTGGGATCTGCACAAGAACGAGCGGCTTCTCGACGCCGTCGACCCGAAGCTGGACGTGCGCAGTAGCGACGACGAGGTTCAGATGAAGGCCGTGCTTCAAGTGGGCCTTCTGTGCGCGCATCCAGATGTGAATGCGAGGCCGAGTATGAGGCAGGTTTTGAATGTGCTCAAAGGGGAAGCTTCCATTCCTCGAGTGCCTCGATCGAAACCCGTCGCTTCGTACTTCGAGGACATGGATTAAAACATTTTTGGCCGCCACCGGTCACTCCCGCCACTCACGTCAGTCCCCCGGTCATTTAGCCCATGTTCGATTTGGAGAAAATGCCGTTGTTAGATGTTGGTTTGGGATGGATGCACGGGATAGGGTGAATTTATTCTTTTAGATGTGTAGAGAGAGTCTTGTACAGTAAACCACCGAATCTAGCCGCTACAGAGTATACTTGATGTAAATTGCTTGCTAAGGTGGCCATAGTTGTCATATATCGATTGTTGCATTGGAATGCGTGGGATTATCGACATACGTACGACATGGACCCCGACGAACTTTCCAAATTCAGGTTGTAGGTTTGCCTTCTCGTCCATTTTCTGCTCTTGTGATTAAGCCATTCGTACCGATCGTCAAGCGAACTATGTCTCTTCGGCCTTTGCAGTTGCTGTTGCTTTCGTTGTTAATCTGCATGGCTGAGATTCTTTCCATTTATGTAGTCCTGAACGCAAACACTGATACTAAATTATGAGGCTGAAGCTATAACCGTGTTAGTATGATCCTTGAAAATTCTACGCTAGAGTTTGCTGTAGCTCTCAGAAGTCTCCACTTGCCTGGATTCACTATCTTCGAACAATACATGGAGCATTTTCTCCCTGGTCGAGTGATGATTGACGAAGAGCCACTTGAAAGCAGTAACCCCTCATGAGAAATTCATTGAGTCCTTTTTGGAATAGTCGTCATCATTCTCAGCATATGATGGATAATTTTAACAGCGTGTGGCAAGAAAGTAATCCAATGAACAGCTTTTGGAAATCTCGGACGAAGAAAGCCTCGAAAGGATTTGTAGGTGGAAGGGGGTCCTTGTCTAATGTGCCATGTTCTAGAGCGAAAGTGGTGAGTCTGAACATGACCATCGCCTTTATAGTCTTCTTGAAAGCATCACGTAAGTGGCAGAATCATGTGGTTTAAAAAAAAAAAAATGTCAAGTTCACTGCAGCCACAAATTGCTGATGATGAGTTTATACCCCAGGTTCATATCTCGAGAGGGTGGTTGTTGTTGGTCTATGATCCACTCTTCAAAGAACGAAAGGGCCGAAGATGGAATAGCAAAATTTGTCTATCACATGATAAGCAAGTAGCCATTTTCTGAGACCGTCTTTTCAAGATTGGCATCAATACGTACTAATAAATTCCGCAGTGACTCTCCAATGATGTCCAAACTCCTGTCGTTGCACGCTTATACAATTTTGCTATCTGGCGAAGTAAGCCTGATAGCCGACGACAGAGATGACGAAGATTGGAAGGATGCAAGGTCGGTATTTCCAGGAGTGGTACTAAATGGAGATTAAGAATATGGCTCCGCACAACGACAGCGACCTAGGATGTACTGTACCAAAACAGAAGATATGTCAAGTTGTTAATGCCAAAATGTGTGATGCGAGCCTTGAGGAATTCAGAATCAGGTCAACAGCACCCAATTCTTGTTGCATTCTTCCAGGATATGAAGACCCATCAAGTGGTACATGGATATCCAAAGTGGTAACATGGGTCTTGGCCTAATACCATCACAGTGTCATACTGCACTCTAAGAGCTCATATTTTTGAAGTCCACAGGACTTGGATCCAGGCACTTGGTCAAAACAGCCAGGTATATGAAGTCACGTTGTATTAATGATCAGGCTAACATCCGCTGTTAACATGTTTTCCAGTCTAAGAAGAGAGTTTCGTTTCGAAGATGTCGGTTTCCTCCCGTGAACTGTTTAATCACCACGTAAGACAAATACAAGCCACAAAACCGTATTCCTCGATAATTTGACGCATCAGCAAACAAATACCTTTCCATGCACGTCTTAACCTTGAGCGTCATGAGTTAAACGGACACAGACAGCTAATGCTGTCAAAGCCAGAGCATCCATTACGTGAGATCACCACCCAGCACATTCCCCGACGAATCTCTGGGCCCCCATCGTATGGAGCCTTCTAGAAATTGTCCCCGACTGCAGAATCCAGACCTGGCCAAAGCAATCGCCATGTGGAAGTTCCAGCAATGTTGGTGTAGTTCAGAAACCGGGAAGAGCCATGTGGGTAGTCTAAATTTAACGGATTGAATAGCTGGTCAACTATTCCCGGAGAGGCAAGCCATGCTACACTACATTCCAGACGAATAGTAAACGACCAAAAATTGGACTCTGCTGGATTCGACCCTCGCTCACATTGAGAACCTTCTTAGAACCCCATGAATCATCTCAAATCGCTGCGATTCGACATGAGCCCATCGCCTTCCTACATTATCCCGTCGACTCGGTCCCCCGCCTTGAAGCATGATGTTTTCTGAGAACGAGCGACATATTCAGTTTCCCGTCGTCCGCCTCGTACAGTATAAAATCGTGATGCATATGCCTCGAGGCTCCAGCTTATTCCTCTTATCACTGGTTTGGAGATTTCATTGATACGTTACTCAAATTTTTGTTTTAGTATCTTTCATTTTGTGCCACGTGATTTCCAAACAGCCCCTCCCGGGCAGGCTCCTTTAGTACACCGACTTTTTACCATAGTAATAGTACCTACTGACTAAGGCTACACAAATTTGATAGTATACTACATAGTATACTGTATAGTATACTAAACCTGATTGAAAAAGCACTCATACAAAAACTGTCATCGGCGCATGTAAAGAATTTTTTGAGATTAATGTTTTTGTTTCTTGCTCTGCGTGACTGCTGCATTCCTGAGCATCTGCCCCAACTTGAACGCATCGCTCTGCGAATCTTCGTCTACGTCTTCGATATCAAAGCATTCCGACAAGATTTTTACGTCGGTGGCAGAGGACGTTGCAGAATTCAGTGAATCGACGACAGCTTGGAACGTGAGCGACCCATCCATTTCACATTCTTTGACCAAGTCCTTATTGAAGGCCAACAGGCACAACATTTCGAACTTTTCATTCCCAAGATTCTGTCGTCGAGGACCATCATGCAGAAAGAGAAAACTCTCTCCTGCAAACCGTTCGAATCAGGAATCACAAGTTCGCTGGCTGCGATCCGCTTGATCAGCTGATGTTGATACCCATATAGGCGATACCATTTGAGTATATCAACCTTTCCGGCAAGATAGTAACAATCCTGCCTTGCGACTTTGCGCTCCTCTTCGGCAGTGAGAACAATGTTTTGTTCGGTGGTCAAGTACGAGCGCCACGAGCGCCACATAGTATACTAGTAGTATACTCACACGATAGTCTTAGTACTAGTATAATATACTAAAGTTTAGTATACTACATAGTATATTATCATACTAAAATCCGTACTAACTAAAGGTCCCTGCTCCCGGGTGTCGAATCTTCGAAGCATCGAGGACGGAGATGCAAAATCAAAACGACGTGGGTTGAATTTCGACCCCATCTGTAACTCAACACCATACGATTAGACCTCCATCGGCAATGTACTTGAGTTAACTCCGACAGTGTAGAGATGCATTTGCTGTAACATATTCCAAACTTACACTACTGGGTGTACTTAGAGCGTCCCCTTCTGTAAACCTCCTTATGCCATCTGGATCTACATGACATGAAGCATTATGTACTGATTCAGGACAAGGGCAAGTTGGGCTGATGGGCATATATTATTAGTTCTTGCATTTCCATTTGCGAGACCTACTTTCTCCAACCAGCTTCAACCTCATTTTTCGACAAATTTTTGCGCCTAATTTTCACGCATCTCTGTATGTTGAAAGTATTACATACCAAGTATAGTGAGATTAAAAAGATTATGTCGCGTATCCAAGCTATCAAGTTCTGTGAAGCTTTTAGCACATTTTATTACAACTATGCGTGTTTAACCTTCTTTTGTATTTAGAATGTTTGATACTTGCTTTCAGGTTCTGATCCACGCTTCAATTCTGTCTATATCTTCACAACTTGAAAATTGTACCCAATCAACAAAAATATGTTTCTCTAAGATTTCTCCAAAGCAATATGAACTCTTGAAATACAAGGTTTGCTAAATCTCCTTTGGAACTATGAAACATTGAAAAAGATAGTGATAATAATTGCTTGATAAACAACTATGCCACATGTGAAAGATATAGTTTATATGTCTAGCCATTGGATCTGGTTCCATTTTGCTTGCGTTATTTTTTAGTTGTTTTCTAGTACTCCCCATGGTGTGAAAAAGTAAAAAATAAAACTTTTTTTCTCATTGAGATTGTTTTGCATCATCAAAAACCAATTGTATTTACATGTAACCAACGGTTACTCCCTCTATGTGTGGCGGAAAGTACTTTATTCAAATACTATATAAAAATTAAAATTTTGAAATGTCTTGTGCTTGTATTATAAATGGTTGTTGCATTTTTTCAATGCTCATCTTCTTGTTCATGTCAAATAGAGCTGATAGAGTTGAAATATATTATGGAAGAAAGGAATAATTTGTCTAACTCCTTACTCGAGTTACTACTTTCAAGATTAAGCTTCTTGTTGAGGTTAATTAAGTTAAGGAGTAACCTCATGTGTAGTTATATATAGTTGAGATTGGTCTCCTGTGTTGGATATATATATAGCCTGATGCTTATGAGCTATGAGAATTGTTGTGCTTTCACCTAAGCAAGAAAGTCTCTCACGTGTAGTCCTCTATGGACGTAACCTTTGAGGGTGAACCACATCATATGCTGGTGTCTCTCGTGTTGATGGTTTGAGGGTGAACCACATCATATGTTGATGGTTTGGTTGTTAGCGTGAACGCATCACTGAGTTTTCCAATTTTACGTCATAAAGTGATATCAAAGCAAGTTTAGGTTTGGTTCTATGGTAGAAAAAACGCTCTGATAGTTTTCTGACGGTTTTTTTAGACATGCTCATGGTTTAGTTGACATTTTTTTAAAACAATGGTTTTGTTGTTTAAACACAAGTTTGTGTCAGTGAACTACTTATAGAAAGTAAACCACTAATCTGATAGTGAAAGATTTGACATTCTTTTGAGGTTTGGGTGCACTTTTAGAGAATATTGAAGGTTTTTTTTCTGAACTTCCTCGAACATCAAAACCAACCAGAAAGTTTTCCTGAAATAAAATCTGCTGAAAAATGGTTTTTCTATTAGGAAGATTGCTAAGTTTTGTGATAGGTGTTTCAGTTCGAAAGATTGTTGAGTTTAGCTAAGTGTGAACATTGGATCAATTTTGTCGATCTAGATAGAGCATCAGGTTCCAAAATTTTTCAATTCCAGCTCAAAGTCACAGTTTTTGAGCTTGAGGTTCACAAGAAGTTACATGAGAAAAACTGGAAGGAAGCGCAGAGAGCGAGCGTCCATGGCTGAAAAACAAGAGCACGCGGTGTGACAATTCCATAGACGAGACTTCGACAATCCTTCTGCACTCGATTGAGAATTTGATCGCCATCGGCATGATGTAAACTGATGATCTTTAGAGATGGAGCGGCGTGCTTAGGTCGTGGTCGAGACAACATACCCTAAATCTTCGAAACGTGGTCAAAGTACAAATGCGGTCAGTCGAACCAACCGTGTTCTGCAAGGTAATTTTATTAACGGACGTTTGACGGTGACAGTGACAACCAACAACAACATGCAACGGTGACGGTCCAGAACGACAGTGAGTGAGATTGTTAAGTTACCTCTGTATATTATTACTCTATCATGTTATGGCTACGGCTTAGTTCTAGTTAACTCTCATTTAAATAAAGGCATTGTGTTAGGTTTTTGTCTAGAACTTTACATTGAGTAATAACATAGGTTAGAAAGGTTACTGAAACTCCTTAACGCGAGTTAAGGGCAAGATTGTTGAGGTTAATTTCGGTTAAGGAGTAACCTCATGTTAAGCTATTTATAGTTAAGATTGGTTGCTTACGTTTGGTATATCAACCCTGATGCTTCTGCGGGTAATGTCATGTTTTCATTTGAAGTAGTATACCCGCTCTAGTGTATTCCTCCGTGAACGTAGCCCTTGAGAATGAACCATGTTATATGTTGTTCATGTCTTGGGAGAATCTTAGACGACACTATGCTACTATGCAGGTTGTGCATAGTGAGCACAAGAGATTTTTGGTCGCATAGTATCTTCAGTCATCTCTTTACATATTTGCTCTATCATTTGATGATTACAGCTTATTCTAGTTAACTCTCATTTAAGGAGTAGCTTTGTGTTAAGTTTCTTTCTAGAATTTCCGGCGGGCTAATTGTGTAAGTTACGAGGTTTCTGTACCCTCTATGCTAGCAGGTATTTAATTGACCATGTATATTATTACTCTATCATGTTATGGCTACGACTTATACCCTGATGTTTCTGCGTTGCGGGTATTGTTGTGCTTTCATCTGAGTTGCAAAAGTTTCTCGCGTGTATTACTCCATGAACGTAGCTCTTGAGGATGAATCACATTATATGCTTTCATCTGAGTTGCAAAAGTTTCTCGCGTGTATTACTCCATGAACGTAGCTC